AAAATTAGCAAAACGTGGACACTCCTAAGGGGCCAATTTTGCTCCTTTCGGTCCGACATTCGTGTACGCAGGTCGCGCCAGCACACAAGTTCAAGGTTCGAAGCCTATTTCGGTCCAAAATTTGCACCCCACTGCCCGCGCACGTGGAAATAGCCTCTATACTACACATGATTACACAACTCTAAAGTGTAATCCTTTATAAAGTGGTTTTAGTTTTCATCCACTTCCTACTGGGACAAACCTTGACTTTTTTTTAGTTTTCTCATCAATAAACTCATTTCACATGACATACTTTGAGTTTCAATTTTTCATTCACCCGAGCATCATTTTTGACAAGTAAGCATATGATTTTGATGTACTGAAGGAGGCTAACACAAATCAACTTCCATCTTTCAAAATCGTCAACCGGGTCCCGCTCAAANCTTTCAAAATAGTCAATCAGGTCCCACTCAAAATTAGTGCCAAAACTAGCCACACAACTTAGTTTTTCCAACAAAAATGAGAAATTTTTATACGTACTGAAATTGTTAATAATGTAATAAAAAGAAGTGAGAACGAGTGGAATGGTCGGATAACAGACACCTGAACATTCGTCCGTAGAGTTGTAAAAAACTCTCAATTTTGTGTTTTTCACACAAAATGGAATTTGCCAATCATGATCTTGTAAATCAAATTCTGGACTGTTTCGAAATCATCCCAAGGCCTTGCACTCATGGAAAATGTTCTCGCTATTTGTCCATTTTGTATAAATATCGAATATTTATTTCTATTAAGGAGATCATAATAAAGTTAAGGCAGGCCTAATTTTTTCTAATTTCCTTCCTATGAAATTTATCCTATCTTCGACCATTAAATTTAAAATATGACAAACACAATCTATATAAAAATAGTATATAATCAAAATCACGGTTAAGTTGCAGCTAATTTTTCAACTACTATTGTGTTAATCAACACAGTGTCAAATGTAAAACTACGAATTTTAGTTTCATAATTGAATTCTCTAATAATATTCATTATACATTATAAACATTTTCTTCATTATAAACATTATAGACGTCGGCTACTTATAAAGAGATAAGACTTTACAACTAATTACTTTGAAAAAAAACAATATTTTTATGCACTTTGCATCTATGACTAATGCATTAGCATCTATGTTACATTTATGAGTATTATCATACCATAAGTCAGATGTAAATGATAATAAATTAATACATGTAAATCACTTATTGTCCATATTTTCATTTTTTTTGTATAAATTAACAGCATTCGAACTAAGTAAATATAGAGGCAATAAAACTTTAGATTGCAAAAGAAAAGAGCTTATAATAATTGTTGATTGAGAAGGTAGAGACTAATAATGGGGAATTCAAAAAAAAATGATCATTCGCCACCAAACGATATTAAAAAAAAAAGGATTGTGGTTCACGAGCTCAAGACAAACCGTCTCGTCAGTCCTAACTCGGTGCTTTTGTTTTTGTCCTTTTGAAGTGGTAGCCAGTGTTGGATAAAATTCTCGAATCGAATTAAGCGGTTTTTCTTAAGTCAAATACTCTTAAATACACGAAGGAGTATTTGAATCGAGAATTGATAGGTTTGGTTCGTTTTGGTTCTCAATTATAGACTAAGAACTGAATAATCGAATAAGAATTGAATCTCCCTAATTTTTTTCTTAAATAGTCAAATTATTATTATTATTTAAATAAATTTGATAACTAATTAATTGAGCTCAAAAATATAATTTTTTTTTTTTTTGTTTCATTTGCCANNNACTATTTCTAATTTTCAGTCAAACCCAACTTAATTAAATTGACCTAAATTTTACCCAAATCTTGTATTCTACCGTAGTGTTGTTTTTGCCGTTCAATTATTGTGAACTCACTATATTCTTTCTGTGATTTTAACAATTAAATTTATGAAGAACTCAACAAAGGAAGGTGTAAATTATATCATGAGATTAGATTACATTATTTTGTAAGAATTAGATTGAATATTTCATAGTCGATTTAATGTAGCGTTGTTATAATATTAAAAAAATTTAATTATTGCACGGAACACGGGAATCGAATAAAACCGAACTCAAACAGTTCCATAATTAAATTTGGACCCAACGTTCCATTTATTAAATATCCGAAAATTCAGATCAATTCTCTTTAGAATCGAACCAAATCGGGCCACGCTCAACCTTAGTAATAGCCAATGAACAAAGAAAACCTAATCGAATCAGACCATACCCAACCCTAATGGTAGCCAATGAACAAAGTTGTATTTTTTATGTTTTGATGTGGATGCATTTAACGCCCGTCTCAATGCCAAATAGGATTTCCTTCATCTACGACTTTTCAGTTGAGGATTGAAAATGATTTCACAACGCATATGCAAGGAAAACATTTTGATTGATGGGCAAGTAATGAAAAAATATTTTTCAATTTAGTTAGTACTAACCCGCTGAAAAATGTAATAATAGTCATTGATCTAACCAAATTTATCGAAACAAAAAAAAACCCAACACGACTGCAAAATGGCTGCCAGCATTTAACCGGATTAGCGTCAAAATCTCTTTTGGCTGTGAAGAAGAAAAAGAAAACAGCTACATGGCAGTCTTCCCAGCAAATTCATCAAAGCAGAGACTTCATACAACAATTTAAGCTTCATTCTTGGTAAGTTTCCCTCATTGCTCAGTCGAAGGCAGATATTCGCATGAATAAGTAGTTAACAGAGCCATCCGAGTGCAGAATTAGAAGAATTTGAAAAAGAAAAATTTGTGCTCCATATTTTATATAACATAATGCATGTATAGAATTGATCACCAGACAATTCATTTCCCATAATTTTCCAGTAATAGTCGTTCCCCCCAAAAACACCTACTTGCAGAAGATTTTCAAAACAAGAAAAGCAAGTTAACATGCAGTACCAGTAGAGCATCCATTGTCTGGAAATATGAGAGAAACAACTAAATACAAAACTAGTATCATCCATCCCCTCTTCAATTATAAAAACACACTAAATTACGTGAGTATACTTGGTTTTACAACCGGGAGAAGGGGAAAATCGTTTACGGCCGCCCCACAATCCTGAATTATAGGTCTTCCTCAGATCTTGCACATTCAACATGTACATTACCAGAGATCTGATGGAGGTACTGCAGGCTTTTCTTGATTTCATCCCAGAGATGAGAAACATGAAGCAACAAATATTTCTCTTGCAATTCATAAACTAGTCGATTTTGATGTTTCTATATATCCTCCTTACGAACAAATTAGAACCTAAGTGACCAACAGCACCTGGAATGCATGAAAAGCAGCTTGTAAGAACAGTGGGAGAAATATAGTGTATAAGATCTAATCAATATATTATCTTGATGTCTTAGAAAACAGAATAAGCCCATCCATAGGCGGAAAATACATAAATTCACTTTGAAGAAAGGAAGGGAAGGCAACAAAATCATATCTTTAAAAAATTGACTGCCTGCCATTTACTCACCGCAAAGAATTCCTAAGCCAAGACAAAACATTAGTGTATAGCCAAAGTAAAAGCTCGTCTGGAAGAATCCTGACATCTTTGTCTTCACATAATAGTAATATATCGAGTACAAGTACACATAAATAGCTGTTGACGCTGCTGAGAAGAAAGATGTCCACTGCCAATGATAATTCTCGGCATTTAGCAGGAAATATGTTCCCACTATTGTCACGCAGACCGTAACAATAATAAGAATCACGAAAACCAGAAGCATAAAGCCATATACGTAGTACACCTGTCCACAAGAAGCGATGAAGAGGATAAATTAGCTAAACAGCCAAAATGAGAGAACTTTTTTTATTTTTGTTGGTTTTCAACAAGCAATATCAGTCTGTTCAGGCCTACAGAAAATGGGTCTTATGCATGGATCTTAATCGAAAAGCGAGATGAGAGGGGCACAAATAAGTTGGAGAGATGCATATGCCAAACAAGATTGAACCAAATAAATTTGTCTTTAACAGGCATAAAAGTAGGAGTGGACAAAATGTCCAAACCAAACCAAACCAAACCAGACCAGACCAGAACCGAACCAAACCAAGCGGTTCAATTCGGTTCTACAAAAAAAAATTAATAGTTTTGGTTCTTCGAACAAAAAACCATTTGGTTATAATTTTGGTTCGGTTCTGATTCTAGAACCAAGAACCAAACTTGATTACAAATTATAATGTTATTTTTTGTATGAATTTGATTTTATGTTAATTGAAGCCAACCCAATAGCCATTATTTTGGTACAACCCATAAAACGAGTTTAGCCCATTAATTTATGGGCAAATTAGGTCCAGTACGGCCTTGGTGCCATAAAATTGATTAATGCACTTAGTATTTTAATATTTATTTCTCACGTATTAATTACGGTATTAACTTTTAGGTATAAAAAGAAATATATTTTAGCCTTCGTTAGTTCGTTTCAAAACCCTTCTCTTCCAATAACTACTCTCACCGTCCCAATTCCTCATCTCTCGTTGCTTGCGCACTAATACTTCAAATCCTTGAAATTGCACATCACTCCCAAAAATATGATTATCTAGTTAATTGTCAAAATTGTGTGAATTATTTTTGTAACTGTGTCGCAAAAAAACAGAAAAAGCAGAGACGGAATTCAGAGACGGAATTATTTTTGTAACTATGGCGTTGCAGGTAATTTATTTGGGTTCTTTTGCGCCGCCATGGTAAAAAAAGATTTATGCTTTTGGGCGTTGGGGAGGGGGGAGTACATGCGAGTCAAGTCGATGGAATTATTTTTGTAACTATGGCTTTGTGGGCAATGTTTGATGCTCATATTTTTTATTTAAGTATATATTAGTAACTTATGGATATGATGCAAGTCAGAAAATTTAAGTAATAGTACTATAATCAGACCAAACCGAACCAGAACCAAATGGTTCGGTTCAATTCGGTTCCGCATCTTTAAAAAAATCTACTTGGTTCCATTACAAAAAAATAAAAACAATTGGTTCATGGTTCGATTTGGTTCTCTTGGAACCAGAACCAAGTGAAATCACGTCCACCCCTACATAAAAGGGTTCTCAAGGAACTTCCATTTACCCACTATTTGAGCCACATTCTTTAAAAACTCATTTTCAACCACTCATTCTCTCAATTAAATAATTGAATTAAACTACTTGTACAAT